AGTACACTAGGTCCCGCACGATAACCTCATCTTGGCTGAACCGTGTGACAATGATCTCGAGAGGCGCTGCGAAGAAGACGTTGAACAGCAGTGGGGACATTGAGCACCCTTGTCGTAATCCCTGCGTGACCGGGAACCAGTCCGATAGCTCCCCATCGTCCGTGCGGACCCGGGCCCGCATTCCGACGTGGAACTTGCGGATGACGGCGATCATCTCCCCGGGGATCCCGGCCCGGGCCAGCACCTTCCACAGTAGCTCCCGGTCCACCGAGTCATATGCCTTCTGCAGATCGATGAAGCACATGTAGAGCGGGATTCTCCTCCTCCGCCCCCAGTATGGTTACCGCCAAAAAAAAAACGGAGGTAAAAAAAAAAACGGTACCCTGGTTGCCGAGTTCACGAAGTGAATCGGCTTGTTTTATAACGTCGTTGCCAAGCGACGAAAACCCAATCCCAATGGCAAACACCGGGGGGGGGCGGCTTGTTTTACAACGTCGTTGCCAAGCGACGAAAACCCAACCCCGATGGCAAACACCGGAGGGGGGGCACGTCGGGGGGGGGGAGGGCAGAGAGGGGGTCTTACCCTGTTGTGTTTAATGCCGGGTGAGTAGTGCCGGTGCCCGGTATAGTGCCGGTGTTTCGGCGGGCACACAACAACGAATTATTTCGAAGTCATTCGATACTTTGAATACCTTAAATAGTGCCGGTCCGGTAAAGTACCGGTGAATTTTCTGGGCACATAACTGCACTAAACAGGAGTCTCTGTTGTATGCGTATGTACGGAAAGGTAAAAAATGTTAGCTGCTTACCGGTTTTCGAGACGTTCTTTATTGGTAGTTTTCCCGGCGTATCAACGGGTTTACGTACCTACGTATATACGTCATGTTTGGCGTTTCTCACAGCAGACTTTGCCTACCTACATATTTATGGCAAGACATCGTATCGTGTGAACAAAACATCATATACATAGCATCCGCGACAACCTCCAAAAAAAGTGACCCCTCAGCCCCTCAGCCCCCGTTCCGCCCCCAAGAATGAACGTACTTTGCGCGCACCATGGGTGCACAACAAAAATGCTGTTGGTGTGGCCGTCGCCACGAACAGAGCCAACAGGTAAAACAAGACGCTCGTTTGCCTCGGGCGTTGTCCAACCCTGGCGCAATCGGTTTCGTCATAGAGACGCTTGCTTCAAGTCGGCTACACAACAAGCACTGTTTGCCTCAACACAGAAATCGATGGAGTATAGCTAGCCTCAGCATCTGTTTGTTCCGCGGCGCCATCGCCTGCTCGTTTATAATCAACTTCCCCCGGTGCGCCCCAACTTTTGCACACATGTCTCTCTCACACACACTCACGTGCAAAGGGTCATGTGAAGTTGGCAACACTGGCCTCGCGCATGGTCATCCATAGGATAGCATCAACCTGATGGGGACGGCACACACCACTACTTCGTACATAGCTGATTTTCCTCTTGTGAAAAAGAAAACGGGGGGGGGGTAACTTGACTGCTTCCACCTAGTTAACGTGTTCCACTTCCACTCACACCATACCCTAGGCAAGCGAAAAACGGATTCCGTGATAGCGGCGGTCAGCAGAAAATGTAGAGGTGCTTTCACTCCATGAAAATGATGCCGTGCCTCTTCTTGCCGCTGGAGAGCTTCAATTCGTCCTTCCCGTCGAATGTAGACAGGTCTACAACGAAGCCCTCATCCACAATCTTTTGGTCGTTCAACTTCGCACCACCACCCTTGATCAGCCTCCGCACTTCACTCTTTGTCTTGGCCAGCTCTAATCGAATGAAGAGATCGACAACGGCCATACCAGCTTCGGCCTCGGCGCTCTCTATTTTTGCCCTGTATGGATATATTCATGCGATGGATGCGGGATTCGGGAAAAGGGGAAACAGAGGGACGGCTACATAAAGAACTTCACTTTCACACAACGTTTTGTTCTGAGATCAATGCACGGGTCTCTCGGCGCTTCTCTCAGTCGCTCACATCGCAGCACATCACACGCTCCTGACCTCTGATACAGGCCAGCAGTTGCAGTCGGCAATCTTCCTCGGTTTTCTCAAGAGCATTATTTCGGGGCCATTCAAGATATACTACTTGTACCATCAGCTCGCTTACTAGACCATTCGTGCCAACTGTCCAATCTCTACCGACTCTACGATCCATGTGACTGCAGTAAACAATTTCACAGCGGCCGTACTGTTGTAAACAGCTTCTACGTGCATTTCGTATGACAAGTGAAACACACACATACGGTGCAACCATACGGCGGGGAATGAAATGCAGCGAAGCACAAGATTCCACCATACGCGGTGATAACAAAACTTCCGCCCAGGTCTGTTGTTGTACACACAACACACGCACTGCTGTCATTTCAGAGGGTGCAGGCGCGGAGGCGATATCCTTACAGACCAGTGGTGATGGTGCTGCTGCTGCTGCTGCTGCTGCTGCACAAAAAGGTCGTGGTACCGATTCTTCGTTTTCCTGTGTTTCCCCCAGCCTCTAATTGAATAGGATCCTCACTTGGGCAGAAAGGAGAAATCGCGAGATTGGAGTATCTCCTGTCAGATAGACTTTGGCAAAACCATGGGGTTGCACGCTATTGCCCCGGCTTCGACATAGGGGTCAATCAGCACAGGAGACCACCGCGTGGGTACGCAAAACACAAGCGAGAGAGGAGTACTGTAGAATCGGACAGCGTAGAAGGGTTGCAAATAAACTACACTTACAAGAGACAAGCACCGGGCTGACAAACAATGCCAGAGAAAAAACAACGCGACAATAGAAAACAGATGCCAAAGGGAGAAGAAGGAGAGAAGGCCGGGGTAGACGTGAGCTTGCTTAGAAAGCAGCCCATGGCAGCCCGGGCAACACAGCGTAGCCACTCTATACGGGTTACAACGTCCGGACTGCGGCTGCAAAGGGCGCCGAGGGTATGGGCGAGAGTACAACGTCATGTGCGAGGCCAACGAGGCTTGGCATCTATGTGGCATTCTACGGCTACAGGAAGCAAGGAGGGCCGGAAGAACGGACTGTACAGCAGCAGGGTTCAGGGCCTTCTGTTGTGGGAGCGAGATAGGCGGGCAACCCGGTGTGGGGCTAGCCGTGAAAGAGTCGGTGTGCAGCACCGCCACCCATACTACCAAAGTATGCTGACGAGCGCCTGATGGCCATGTGGTTTGACGTGACTGGCCAAACCGGAGCGGTAAACTTCGTACACACCTTGGCAACCAAAAGTTCAAAAGGATGAAACAATCTAGGCGTTCTGGATAGGTTCGAGAGCCTCGTACAGTGGATCCCACTATCAGCGTGTGTGTATAGATTACCGTGTGCCACGGCTGCTTCCCCAATTGGCTCTTATTTCAAGTGCCGTTTGTGTCTTGGTACGATGGCGCCACGAACGGGGGGAAAGAAAGGTACTACAGCAGTGTACTGATGCTGAACGATCCATAATCCTACAGCCTGGAACAATAACCCAACTAAACGACAGAAAATAAAAATGGCCCGCATGCATACATTTCGACCAGATCTCTCTAGCCGGCAAAACCTGATCACATGGAATACAACTTATCGAATGCCCCCACAATCAATCCCTACACTCGTTCGTGGTGCATCTTCGAATTTGCACTGCATCACCATCGGTGGTCTGGTTGTGGAAATCGGGCTGACAAACAGTTGCCGCCCGGGAGTATATGTGTCATGTATGTATCGAGAAATATGTGTACCTGGCATATATTTCAAAATTTTGCCTCTTGATATGCATCTCCACGTTCATTACGCTGATCCATATCGCTGGCTCCTCGTGTCATCGCAATCTGGCCATCAGTACTTTAATTTAACTCTTCTACACTTCGCAGCGGGCGCAGCGAAAAAAGCTGCTGCTGTAAACACGTCTGGGCGCATTTACACCCACGGTGTTGAACATGTTGTGTTCATGGTATTGTTTCGGATTCGAATATATTCGGTTCTCGTTGGAAATCTGCCATCGCAAGAGAAACATCTCGCCGAAGCTCATTTGATCGAATTTTCGCTGGCAACTGGCTGTTTGCTCGAGCTGGCTTCAATGTATGGTACGTGCGCGATGTTGTTTGTAAGGAATACGAGCGTAATAAATGTGCCCACCAATGTAAGACACACAACCCTTCTCTGGCAATGCGCATGCATGCGGTAATGCGTCACCCGCGGGAAGCTTGACACCCACGTCCCGAAGGGAGACCTTGTACATTGTACGGATGTACATACGTGAGGCATGCGGTGCGGGTGCGGTAAACAAACCCCAAAACATCCAGAAAAATGGATGCAACCAATGGGCTCCGTTATTTTTATCGAGACAGACAAGGCATGAGCCAAGAGCGACATGGCACAATGGGTGGCCGGTTTTACGTAAGATCATCACGAAACTGGTGTGGTAGTTAGCTCTCTGGGCGCAGCGAGTCTTGGGCGTGAAGGTGTAGAGATGGGAAAGTCCTAGGTGCGAGTGTCGGATGCGAACGAGATCTGCATGTGGGCGAAAAAACACGTAGTGTGGGTTGTCTTTTTCACTTTTCTTGCGATGCGGACATGCGGACGTCAGCCTAGAACAAACAAAAAATGTGGTGCATATGCATATACCAACGGGCATATATGATCGAAACAGAGGAACAGGTATGAGCGAGCCAAGAGCGATATGGCACAATGCGTGGCCGGTTTTACGTAAGATCATCAGGACACTGGTGTGGTGGTTAGCTTGTTGGGCGTAGCGAGTCTTGGGTGAGGAGGCGTAGAGATGGGCGAGTGTGCCGTACGTGCGAACACCGACACACCCACTGCCAGTGATTGCGACCAATCTCCGTCAGCAAAAGGACAATCATCGCCGTCCGTGTGTAGTCTAACCCACCAATGATCGCTCGTTGTGATCTGATGTGGGAGATGCACCACAGAGTCATGCGAATCGGGCACAGTGATCGCAACCCACCGCAGAGAGATATATGAACGCCGTGGTCGTGTTTGTGTGTGTGACCGGTGTTGGTGGAAAGTTTGTGTGCATGCCATGTGCCAGGCGCTGCGTGCTCCCCCCTAGACCGGGGCATACTTGCTGGCACACAGCAGTGTAGGACATATAGCAGTGTAGGACACACCGCAGTGTGGGTCATACAGATTCATTTAATCAAAGCATGGAAATTTCGAACAAGATTTCTTAATTGTTTGTTTCGGGATGGCGCTGACTGAAACCCCAAGCTGAAAGTTGGGGAAATGTGGTGATGGACGCGTACCCGAGCTGGGAGCAGTATGCCGTAGAGGGAGACATCAACAAGAGGACGGGATCCCTGGCACCAGTGGGCGTGATTAGCTGAACGCAAACAGCGAGAGATTGCTGACTTTCGCAGCAGACAATAAAACCCGTCACGACCAACTTCTTAAGCACGCGCAAAGGGGGAGTTCCAAACACGATTGGCCGCGCCACGGGGTACCGAGCGAGCGAGTTCAAATGTTTTAGACTACCAGGCACACCCCAGCAGCCACTGTCGACCTCGGTCCGACTCGCCCACAACCTCGCCGGGCCAAGCAGAAACAGCAGCAATTTAGACGATAGGGGTTGCAGGGTGTCGCGATGGCGCGTTGTCAACTGTTTCCAACACAATCCTGGCGAGCGAACAGATTAGCCACCTAACGCAGCACCCGAACCCGCGAGAGGGTTTACCCAAGCTATCCTTCTAGCAGGGCAAACAGTACGTCCGGCGGCGACACGGATACTACGTGTGCTGCTGGATGATGTGAGACCCCGGAGCCAAGAGTAGGAGTCGAGGCAACCCTTGCCGCGCGACGGGAGGCACGCAAAAAGATCAAAAACGACCCAGCAACATGAAACATTCATGCTGCGGTCAAGCCAGCGCGTATAGCAGTCTGTGACGGTATCCATGCCTATCTCGGGAGGTATGTGGCAAGGAATGCGACATGTTAGGCCTGAATAAACACCTCCAGTCATCGGTAGGCCGTGGCAGGAGGAAATCCGGGGGACTGCAGTTCGGTAGCCCCTCTGTCACCGAGCAGGTGAAACAACAACCGGTGGCACCATCCACCGGATTTTTGGTATGTCTGAGGTCGGTACCAACACTGGCGGAGACTAGGAGGGAAGCCCCGGGGTGCACAACTGGAGGATATCTGGCCATGAATCCTTCCCAGCGGAACTAAGCACAATCGACAATCCCGACGAACCCATCTTCCTAGAGCACTCCTATGCCGCCCTCGTCGATGTGTGGAACAGAGGGGAGGTCTCACAATACTGGAAATAAATCATTCGCCAAAGTGTTGTAGGAGTAGTCAGATCGATCGAACTGCAAATGTTTACTTGTCTCGCATACTGGCAGGGCTCTTGAAGAAAAATAGTGACCAACCGCCGAAGCGACAACTGGGAAGCTCACGACATCCTAACCGACGAACAGTGAGGCTTCTGACCTGGTCGATCCAAGGTCATGTTGGTCGTCGCAGCAGCATACGTCGGCTCCAGGAGTGGGGGCGGAGGCAAAAAAAAACTGTACATGTGCTTAGTCGTGGAAGGAACTGGCCCGAAATGGGGTGCTGGACGAGATAGATTTGAGTAATCCGTCAATTCCACAACGGCATGCCGGCCCGGGTACGCACGCACGACTGGGAGCTCTGGCTGGTTCCAGGTCACGCAGGGACTTGGTACTATTCAACGTTTTCTTCGAGGTAGCGATCGGGATGACTCTTGTGAGATTTAGCTATAGGATGACGCCACTCTCAAGGAACCTCGAGGAGGAGGGCAACAGGGTGAGAAGGCGGGGACTGAGACACTGCTGAAACAAGGGCGAAGGGCAGCAAAGGGAATTTTGTGTGTAGACGACGCCAGCGTTGTATCGGGCTCATCCGAAGGGTTGGCAAGGACGATGGCCGCTAAATATCGTGGAAAAGTTTGGAGCCTGTGGCCTGACAGTGCCTGAGACCAAGACAAAGAGTCTCTTGATGCGGATAACGAGAAGGAGCGGCAGCCAAAGAACTTAAGATACCGTCTCGTGATCTATGTAGTTCTCTTTGATATTTCAAAATACATGTAGTTAGTCTGTGTCCACGGAAGGTGTCCGCGTCAGCTGGACCAGTACGGATACTGAGCAGAAGTTGGAAGTTCTGTGATGGGAACAAAGACAAGATCTTGAGATCGATTTGGTTCTGATGGCGACATCAGCGGCCGCAAAGGTTGCATAAAGTTCATAACATGGATCTGAGGCTTTACAGCTATCCGCCCGTCGGATCGCGTGGGACGAGTGTGCTGGTATCGATTTACCTTGGAAGAGCTGCATTGGATCCCCCAACCCCTCCAGCGAACACTTGCTTGACAGTCTGGTGGATCTCCTTCAAGCACGCTTCCCCGTGAAGCAACTTGGTTGTTTCATCTGCGAGTACAATCTGTTCGCAAGGGGTTTGTGAAAACAGCACATACATTGACCACACAGACAAGACACTCAGTCCGCGTTTGTTCGTCAGATACACCCGCTCCATCGAGATGTAAGCTAGCCGTGTTGCGGTCAATATGGCCCAAGCCTTTGTATGGTGCCAAACGTCCAAGGTGGCCTATTGCGGGCAAAGAATAGCGCATGGGCGACTGCACACTGGGCACAATAAAAGGTGTTGTTACGTTGATGTGCTCCGTGATAGGTTGGCTCCATACCTTGGCCTTGTTGATCCCTGCCCCCGTGAGCTGCTCCAGTTTGTGTACTTCATCCATGGACAGCTCGGTAAACAGCTTCAAAAAACGAATGACATCAGCGTCATCCGTGTTACGCCAGAACTGTCACACGTGGCAGACGGATTGAGTTAGTCGGGACGGCGTTTGGATGACAACAAATACAGCATCGTCTCGTGTCGGAAAATGGACGTAATGCTCGGCTTTGCTGGCGTCTGCAATCAGCTTGACTCTCACAAGGGTGTGCCTGCAGATCGTGTGTATACCTGCCAGTAGTCGTACTCTGGAAGTTTGTCTGCGTTCAACCATACGGCGCCAGCAGCTGACTTCCCCATCTTCTTGCCCTCAGATGTGGTGATAAGCGGAGCAGTCAGAGCAAACAATTCTGCCTTTTCCACTCGCCGCCCCAAATCCACGCCGTTCACCATATTGCCCCACTGGTCCGAGCCGCCCATCTGCAAAACGCACCTGAAACAACCGGCGCAGGGTCAAAGTGTTGTTGATGGCTGCAGAGGTGCGAGACCATACCCCCCTTCCCACAACAGGGAACAGGGAACAGGGATATCGGAATTTTTGTCAGATTGGCCACCCACACTAAATATCGTTCCTGCAAAACAATTGTGGCCTCCCAGCTCCCCTCCTATTGGGTCAACAGGCCGCATCAAACTTGTTCATTAAAGTTGCCAACAGACCATGTGAAACGTGGAACACGAACTCTTCGGTGGCACAGGTGCTGTACGCTACCGGTTCAACCGATGTGGGCGTTGCTACCATCATCACGTGTCTCGCATGCAAAAAAAACGGCAGCGGATCCTCGTGTACCCTGTGTATTGAGCAAGATAGAGTGCTACACAGGAAGGCAAGCTGCCGATGACCGCACCTCAAGAAGAAAGCCTTCGAGAGCACTCTTGAGGGTGCGGATTGTACGAGGAGCACCACCTGCGCTAACCGATACCTAGCACATGTGAATGATGTGTGCTCGTCAACAGCTTCCTTCAAAATCAAACTTACACCACTCCTCTTTCCGTACCCCACCACTCGTCTTCCTGCCTCCAATGATTGTACTTTTTGCCTCCGAGTGCCTGCGGGCCGCACGCGCGCGATAAAATGTTCCGTGTTCTATGCCTGAATGCTGCTGCATGTGGTAGTTAGGACACAACGCTATGGAAAAGGGAACAGGGAATCGAGAGTTCCCTGTTCTCTGTTCCAGTTTCGACAGGGATAGTTCACGCCCTCTGCTGTGCTACCTGCACCTACTTTAAAGTTTCGCGAGAATACACCTCACCCGTAGCGACGGTAGAGTTCGGTGAAGTCGTACGCCTGCAGCAACATATAGTTGAACTCCAAGAAGGTCAGCGGCTGCTCACGTTCCAACCGTAGGCGAACACTATCGTACGTCATCATGCGGTTGATCGTGAAATGCGGGCCGTACTCTCGCAGAAAGTCGAGGTACGATAACTGGTTCAACCACTCGTTGTTATTGACGAGCTTGGCGTCCGTAGGGCCGTCCCCGAACGTCAGGAACTTGGAAAAAACGCTGGCGAGTCCGTCGATATTCCGCTGCAATCAAGGGGCCAGTCGTCGTCACATAGGAACAGGTCAAACAGTGATTGGGCGGTACTTCCAACAGCAGTGGCTTTCGGTGACAAGACCGCAGAACAAAAAACGATGTGGTTGTTCGAAGCACTGCATACGCACTCGTTGTCTCTCCGCACAACAAGCACCACGACACCAGATTGCCTCGTGGGCACTACAGCAGTTTAAGTGGACGCTCTGGTCGCGGTTATAGTTACTAGAGTCACATCTGAATGATCTTCTGCGTCTGTTTTCCTCCTTTATAGGACTCTCGTGTTACTTTGACTGCGTCGATCCCAAAACTCAGAACACATCTTGTACGCACCCGCGTTTCCAAGAACAATCACGTGCCCGAGCCACACGCAAAAAAATAGCCGTTCAACGTGCTGTGCCTTTTGCGCGTGTGCACACCACGAAGGCAACAGCAAAGCAAGTACTACCGGGAGCAACACGATCTTCTCATTGCGGGTGAGTTTGGATGAAAGCCTATCTGCCTCTTGTTGTAGAAATATCAGGAGTACTCGGGACCAGCATGTGGCCCGCAGTGCACGGAGTCCTTCCTACCTGGATTGCTGCATCATCGAGGAGCTGTCGAGCTTCGTCCTTTCCCGACGGATCTCCGATTTTGGTTGTACCCCCCCCTACAAGTACTATTGGCTGGTGGCCTGCCTTCTGAAGGTGTCGCAAGATCATAATCTGTAACAGACTCCCAACATGAAGGCTTCCACAAGAGAAGGCGTGCGGTGGTTTGGAAGGGAAGGCGTATCGCATAAGAAACATCTGAACCTGGAGAAGCAACGCGCGCAAGTGCAGCTTGGACTCTCACAACCTTTATATATACGAGAGGTTTCGAACAAGAGAGGGTAACGCCCCAACCAAACGAACTCGCATCAAATCTGATGTTCTCTGTACCGAATGAGAGAGGATCATCGTGAACAGTGCAAATATTTCCTCAAAAACGCAACCAAATCACAAAGGGCTGTTTAAATGCTTCCGCCAACTGGAGCAGAGGATCAGGAATCGCACTTCAATATTGCGCTCAATTGTAGCCATGTTGCATCCGAGGGCGTGCTGTTAGATCTTTCTAATTACCGAACAAACAATGGAAGTCGTGAATTGGACGAAGCACTCAATGATCGTCAATGCCGATCGTCAATGCCGACGGGGGGGGGGGTGCCGTGGTCGTCAGACCATTGACCTCACATCTCTGCAATTCCGGGACAAAGCGATATGCCCGGTTTTCGCCGGCTCAGGCTACGTTTTACAAGGATACTGTGCCAAACTAGATATGGCATGGGTTGATGGAGATCCCGGCTAATCAAATGTGTCACATTCGGTACGCACAATTATACTTCAACTACCGCGAGGGACTTCGATCATTCCGCGCTTGTGCAAAAAAGGTGGACCACACTTAGCGAACACGTCACTTCGTGCGTGACACACTTGGAGTAATATTCTGCCCACTATAATACAGGTGGAAAGTTCAGATGTAACAACTTATGAGATTTTTCTCCCGGGCGTTCCAACTATCCAGTGTTCAGCGGACATGTAATGGGGTGTGAACTCTAGGGCCGAAGACCACAAGCTCACAGGACAAACGGCATAAACAACTCCCTTGCCCTAACAGCAATTATAAAGCTCCATGTCCCGAGAGCCAACCCTACCTCGACCAATCCATCCTCGAACCTCACAGGCGGAGGTATTTTCGGTCTTAGTTTCATCGGGACGCACAAGTAAAGAAAGTAAGCGCCCTCTCTCCACCAACCATGTTTGTATACGTGTTTCACGGAAGTCCGCTTCGCGTACCTCGACCAGTTATCCCGAATGTAACCTAGCTGGGCCTTATGACAGCGGTAGGACCGTTGGACAACCAGGAGTTCTCACATTGCCGTCGAGTACGTATACATACGAAATATTTTGCTACCCCCAGGTGCGGTGGAGGTTGCAGGGCTGGGCCTTGCGGGTCGATGGAACCACACCACGCAGGTCGTCGAGTTACTGTTTGAATGCCGTGCATCGCGCCTCATGAAGTCTGGTGGGGCTAGTGTGTGATTGGGGCAGTAGTCACCCGTTGCGCAGGGCATGGTAGTAGCAGCTGTGAGTTCTCGAGATTTTTTGTCGAAGCTAGATTGAACGTAGCATCTCAGGAGTCCCGCCGTCGTACCACGAATTATCTTTTACAGACTCTTGGCCATCGCAAGCTACTGCCCTCTCTTGTATCCGAATTCTCCATCCAATTCTTTTCTTTCACAGTTACAATGATACATTCTGTGGCACCTGTCCGCCGTTGCGTCGAAACCAAGGTAGGCCTTAACGACCTCGCCGGCCCGCAACTTCTCGTCAAGTCCTTCGACGTTTGTGCACTGGTGATAGAACCCTCGTTCAACAAGCGTCTGCAGGAACGGGGACTTGACGCTCACAGGTTCATTCGCCTCGGCCGTGACGCTCGCAGGAACTGCGACTGTCTCTGACTCGACCGCCAGCAAACGGCCTACCCTCGTGCGGCTCAGGGCCTGTGTTAACGAAACATCGGAATATCAGTCCAAACGATCATGATGTGTAAGGGTCCCTCGGGCGGAGTGAGCTCATGAGGGCAACGCGTCATGAAAGGGTGATGCAAGATGAAAGTAAAGGCGGGCAGCAAGACAGCCCCACAGCTGGCTGACAGTTGAGACGTTTTCCGCGCCAAACAACCGCTCACACAGTTGACGTGTTGTGACGCGAAGAATCCAGCGAACGCCAACGAACAAAGAAAGAAAAACAAAGATCTGTATACAAGCAGTCTTACATAGCGGCAACAGGATTTCGAACATTGCGCTGGCAGATACTTTGCCGCGCTATGCGACAGGGGCGCATATTTTGCACGTGTAAACACGCTTGATTAAAAGCTGGTATAAATCATTCGGACTAGCAGATTGGCCCATGGTCAATCGCTCGAGTGAAATGAGGGCCAGCCCGAATAGCGACTACGAGTTTATGTTACACCCACCCAGCCTCGGCAAACGTCACAACACACAAAATAGCATGACAAAGGGGACTAAGATATAATGACATGGAACCGGAATACCCCAATCTAACCAAGTCAGATCAAAGCAGAGCGGGTGCAGCACGTTTCTCCACCGGTGCAGTAGTCGAAGAGCACTCGAGTAAGGGCATCAGAAAAATGCACAAGAGACTCACAAGACCAGTCGGAAGGCATCGCGACAACAGAAATCGTTGATTCTTGCGAGGGGCTGCTCAAAACATACACTTCACGTGCCCACCTCCACATGCCTATTTTGAAATCGAGATAAAACTCACACCCTTCTAAATTGAAATCCATAGAGCCAAAACGGCAGGCGCTCAAAAAAGGTCGGTGTTGCGAAGTGTCTGATGTATGGTACTAATATCACTACAGAACACCCTGTACCAGGAGGGGGTGTGTGTTGGCGCGCTCAAATCTGTTTCTGTGGTGGCGATATTGAGGGTCATTGCAGTGGCCTACAATCTCCGCACATCTCCTCAAATTAGACCGACACCAAGTGTCTTGTACCGCTTGTGATCGCCGCCACTGACCCCTACCTCCTGAAGTGCAGGTTTACAGCTGTAGGTTATGCCACTATTTAGCTACTGCTGACGACCCTCCGGTCAACGGTTTACGGTCGATGGCGGTGAGCACGGCTGTGACAAATTTTTGACCCCCTTGGTTCCGGCGCAGATTTCAGACTGTTTTCAGAGGCTGCTGCGACCTGCGATATTTCAGCCTCAGTAGCAAACCTGAACGTGCCAGCAACGCACGCCGCCGCTTCTTAGTTTTGTTTTTTTTTTTTCTCCCATCATTGGACTCTGTCGTCTGCCCCTCTGGCCCCTATCCTCCACTTCTACTAGCTAGACGACCCAACCGGGGTCACATAGGAGGGGGGGGTTGGACCCCCTCCTGCGGTTCATGCCTGAGGTATTTTTATCGCGAGAAGGGTACAGCAATCCCTTCCCTCGCGACTTACGAAGTCGATTATGGTTTACTAACAAACGAGCTTTGCAGCGCATCGCTTTCATCCTAGACCAGGATTTATTTAGTGAGAAAAAAACTCTCTCTGTCGGGACTCGAACCCATGACCTGGCCCTTAGCAGGCTGCGAGGCTACCCACAAGACCACCGGGGCGACCGGTCTTCTACTGATGACAGTACATGCAACAGGTACTTCCGGCGGGAATGTTGTTACATACCACCTTGCAAGGAGTCACGCATGCATAACATCAACCCGCTTTTGGTGGAGCCAGCCGACACACTCGTCTTCGCTCTTTGTTGGATGCCGGTGGCTTGACCAACACTTCACCAAGCCACACGTGCATCCATCAACACAAACGTTGGGCTACGACAACAACAGGGGCGAACCTCATCCAACAACCACCTCGTATTTGGCACGGAAAAGGACGAGAGGCATTCGATGCTCCGACAAGAGCAAGACTGCTGTCGATCTTTCATTGTCCGAAAAAACATCATATTTTGGTCTCCTACTCAATTCCAGTAGTTACCATCCAACTTCCTGTGCTTGGTACGCTCACATGCAGCGTCACATGTCTTCGATACACCAGACGCGCCCAAAAATGGCGTTCACACCCGCGGGTGCTTTGGTGTGGCGGCAGCTTGAATTTCTACAATTAAATTCGAGAGGCTAACGGCCGGTAGTATGCATGTCACCATGACAGGAGAAATGAAGCCAAAACGATAGAGCAAGCCTGGAGGATACGGCGTAGCCACACTCGTTCCACGAGGTCGAACCACCAACAGGAAACATGTGCAGAATCATGCATGAAGTAACACATTTTGACAGCACCAGGAGCGTAGTGCAGCATACGTACGGTATACGGAAGATCTGGCTTTCACACGTTTGGGGTTATTCTTTCCCAGGACATTGTTTGGGCCTTAGCGGATGCAGCACTCATCATCCAATAGTAGACCTGCGAGGTATCAATAGTTGTTTCTGTGGTAGTTCATGCACGGTCTGCTTGGGCCCCTTTGGCCGGGAAGTGGGGAGAGAACGTTGGGCCAGCATGATATCAATCAAGCAAGCGTCTCACATGCGTCGAGTAAAAGCGGCGTGCTGCAGGTCCTCCCGGGATAAATGCGGAAGATCGGCTCACTGAACAAAGTGCCAGCATCACCATGGATCGCGACATTGCCATCGCACGCTGTGACATGGTCAATGCCGGCTGGGTGTCGCTGGTACCTCCTCCCTGTTCCAGCCCCGGCCGTCCGGGACTGTCACCATGTCCACGCCCCCCCCCTCAAATGTTTAATCCCATCCGGGGACCGCAGATGTATGCATGTGCATGCTGAACGGGTCCATGTGTTCATGTGCCCTTCGAGCAGCTCACATCTTCACGTGCTAGTGCTAACACGCGCGGCACGCACGCAATGAAGGCTTCCGCAATTGGGCTGGCATGTTTCGCTGGTATCGCGCACGTAAGTGGGTTCGTGTCACATGTGATTCCACGTGGCAGCCGAGTGTCGCACGATGTGAGCTCGCTTGTGGCATCGCGCCCTCTCCCTCGCCCCTATCGACCAACAGCCGGCAGGGCCAATAGTAACCTGTTCATGAAGAAGGGAGGGGCACATCTGCGGGAGCATGGAGAGAGAAATCGAACGAGACATCTGACTTCACGGATAGGCCACCCTGGCGGTCTTCACAAGGTTGCTCTGCTCGCCTTGGCCGGAGCCGTTTCATGTCAACTTCTACCTCACGCAGCAGTAGCCGCAACCGAGACGGCCGTGCCCATAGCTTCAGCAGCCGTCGACGGTACATTGGTGGAGAGACTAACTAGTTCGGGTTTTTTCCAGGCCTTTTCACTCGTGTTTGTCTCCGAAATTGGCGACAAAACCTTCTTCATTGCCGCTCTTTTGGCGGCGAAAACAAGCCGCCTCATCTCCTTTGCGGGCTCGGTCGGGGCACTGGCGGTGATGACGGTGCTCGCGGTGCTCTTGGGGTTGGCGTTTCACTCCGTGCCGTCCGTGTTCACGTCTGGCCTTCCTCTGGACGACATCATAGCGGCGGCAGCTTTTCTCTACTTCGGAATCAACACCTTGAAAGATGCTTACGCGCTGCCGGACGATTCCAACCAAGGTATTGAGGAAGAGCGGGCCGAAGCCGAAGAGAGCGTCAAGGAGCTTGAAGGGAAGAAAACCGTTTGGTGAGGATGGCGGTATTTTCACGATCCATAAGAAAAGTATTGGCCATTGTAGGTAACTTTCATCAAGTGAACAACGTCACTGCATTCCAATGACAGATAGGACTGCCCTTAGCCAATCGCGTTGTTGCACGGAGGACGAGCCGTAAATTGAGTTCTGAAGCTGTAAGCCTCAGCCTCTCCGACTACAATATATTCATTTTTGTCGCAGACCCTCGCATTCCGATTCCCAAACACACCAATCGCCCCGGTGGTCTAGTGGTACCCTCGAAATCCGCTAGTCGCAGAGGTCGTGAGTTCGAATACCCATGGGGTGAAAATTTTACGAAATGTGCGGGTGAAAGCGAAGTATAGCTGACAAGCTCTCGTGAGTACCAAACTTCGACGTTAGCAACGTTGACGAGGGAAAGGGACGGCTGGACCCTTCTATCTTCTCGCGATAAAAATAAAATTCAGCACGCACCGCAGGAGGAAGGTGGGGCATGAAAACAAATAAAAAGAAGAAAAAAGCCCTGGTGATTACCCCATCCTGCGTGACCCTGGATGGTTGTAGTTGTACGAAAAAATACATAGAAAAGTGTAGTACTCTACATACGCTGAAAAGGGCAGTACACGTCTCACCACGAAAAATGGGGGGACTGTCGCCATAATGAATAGGACGAAAACACACAACACCCTGCCCGGCCGTGTCTCAAAAGCCGATCACGACCTGTGGCACACGGCTCGTGATATCTCGAGTATGCCTTGATAGGGCATTCCAAATCACGGCCAGTCACCAAGTTTGATCGACTTCCGCGTACAGTAGCGTACGTCACAAATGTGCGGCCATGTGCGACCATGCTCGCTGTTTCTCTCTCGTCTTCATTGGTTCGCCGTCATCCTGTCCTCATCATGTCCTCATCGCTCTTTTTGGAAGATTCGGATCTCATTGTCAGCTTGTGTGGGAGAAGTCAACAGGCCGGTGTCGACCTACAGTGCGGCGCACGTCTCGCAATATCTTGAGTATGCCCCCCCCTCGCCAAGTTCGATCGACTTCCGCGCGCAGCAACATGCGCCACAAGATTGCGGTCATATGCGACCATGCGGTTCATTCTCTCGTCTTGACCTTAACCGGTTCGCCGTCTTCCTGTCTCCATCGCTATTCATCGCTGTTTTTGTCCTCTCGAGCAATATCGGAAATATCGAATCTCAGAATGTGGTTGACAGCAACCAACAGACCGATATCGCCTACATGAACGGCGCAAGCCTCACGATATTTTGAGGATGCCTCGGTAGGCATGGCGAGTCGTCGTCCCCCGCCAAGTTTCATCACCCTCCGAGCGTAGTAGCGTTCGCCATAAAAGTGTGCGACCAGGTGCGACCAGGTGCGCTGTTTCTCTCCTCTTCAACTTTTGAGTCAGGTGTGTGCTGATCTTCCTAATAGCATGAGCACCACAGCATCGGGGTAGATTCGTTACCTCTCGCAGTACCTCTCCGACAAAGCAATTGTTGGCAAACGGCCCGTGTGTCTGATCAACGACTGGAGCATGTGTTTGGACATCACCCCAAGCTTGAGGGGGTTGCACTTCTCTCTACACCTAGTGTCTGCTAGCTCTCGCTGCTTCTATGTGCTGTCAGGAGCGTTTGTGCACACAGGAGTGAGGGCACTCTTTTGTTTCGGATCGGCAATTAACACAACGCGCTCAACTGCAACAATTGAGGTGTCCTACGAAGAAACCAACCGTAGCAGTATGTCGGCGCACACACGGCCCACGTGCAGTGCCTGGGCAGGTTCGGGCGCGCTCTTTGTGCGTGGAGAAAAGCTCCACAAGAGCCCGTTTCGAATTTTGTTGAATCGTCGCTAAAAGGCTGTTCAAACGGGGGCGACCCGAGCACACGACGGCAGAGCGCCCGCAAGCATCAAGCACAGCGTACAACCCCCAAACGCGAGTTCGTGGCGTCAGTAATCTTATAACACATATCTGCCCTGAAGGATCGATAACTGCCTGAGTCGCAACATCAGCAGATATGTTCACAATACAAATGTATATGGAGCTACTCTTTTCAAGAGGCGAGCAGAAGCAAACCAACAGTGTTCCGGGTGAACTGACAGGCGCACTTGGGCTTCACTTCTCATACTCCTGCCGCTCGCAAGCAAAGCACAGGTCGTTTCGAGCAAACGTAAACGCTCCCTAATGCTAGTTCTCCGACACTCTTCACTTTTCCCAACCTCGAGCGAATCGACGTGAGCTTCCAAGGTTTACCGAAACCACGTTGAGGCCATTTCATCGAAGTCGGGCAACGTGGAGAGCTCTCGATACTATAGCATGAGAGGAACGGGTGATACATTTTCTCATTGTCGTGCTTGTGGGCAATGGGTATGCATACCAAGTCGAGAATGTAGAAGTAGAGTTTTGCTGTTATTTCATCAAACAGAGCGCGGAAAGCTGTTTGACTGCTGTGTGGTATCTCCCCCCATCTCCATGTGTGCTCACTTTCCTGTTCTCCCTGCCAGAGACTGGAGACCACCGTGTGCGCGCCCGTGTGATCCTATGCTGGTGGTTGGATCAATGCGTGTGTATCGTACAGAGGCGCAGTTATGTGCTTGGTCTCTAATGACGTTTGTGAGCGCCCTCTGGATGGGGCGTTGCCAGCCCGGTGGTACCCATGTGTCGGAATCACCGACAACCTCACGAAACTGCCTGCCATACTTCTCTGACCACCTCCTTCCATTTTTTCACAATGGACCCCTACGCCACGCCTTGAAGGAACAAATTATTGGCCATCAAACTGTTCGCGGACGCGGCGGCGTTTTCGCCGTTCTTTACCAAACACACTGGAAAGGTCTACTTGGACCCTCTTGGGCACGTGAAATGGACCTGCAACGTTTTAGACGCGGTCCCGGCGGGGGTTTCTGAACCCTCCTTGGTATGCGTTGGCTAGGGCGGGCAGTGACGTGGAGGGATTAATCTCCATTTTGACCGCGTCAAAAACGTGTTGCAGTTCCATTTCACGTGCCCAAGAGGGTCGAAGTAGACCTTTTCCAGCGTGTTTGGTAGAGAACGGCGAGAACACCGCCGCGTCCGCGAACAGTTTGATGGCCAGTGGTTTGCCCCACCTCAAGTCATAGCCAACACATACCAAAGTGGGTTCAGCAACCCCCACCGGGACCGTGTCGAGAACGTCACGCACGTTGCAGAGTGTGTACTTGTGTCGGCCGGGTCTTCCAGCGGCGGCATCGGTAGTGGCGCAGAGGCCATTCAGAAGGCTAAGAAACTTCGCGACCAACACGCTGCTGCCACCACCAACCTGAAACAGTTTCACAACGAGTCTGCCGCCCTGGAGCGCCAGCAGCGCGACCAGAAACACGCCATCAAACTTGCGGAGCCGGAAGATCAAGCGGCCATCACAGAACATGACACCCTAATCGTTTGCGTTTTTCGCGGATGGAGCGTGTGGCCCCCTTTTCAAGTCATGTTAACCTGATCAATCATTTTTTTTGGCAAGCTCTCGGTGTGATTTTTTTTTGTCTACACGCAAATCAGAGGGACAAGTTGGCATGTTCACCATGTCGCTGTTCTTGAAGAACAAGCTTGCCTGCATCGCCAATAGTCTGGGCACCATGTGTTTTGGGCCTCTGACCTGGCGAACAAATTATTTGGCCATGCCAATCGATGGAAATGCTCATTAGCCTATGTATATGTACAGAATAAATAATCACGGCTGGACATCTATGAACTGCTCCGTCCCTGTTATGTTCGAGCAACTGTCGAAATATAAACCGACTGAAAACACACTGTAGGTCACTTTCTGCTGACGTCAGCTTCTGTCGGCGTGTCTTCGTTTGGCAGTGCAGAACAATACGATACTCCCTGTTCGCGAGCAAACCCACGTGCGGGGGACACAGTTTGCGCCACTCCCCGATGAAACAAGATATCTGGAGTGCGACACTGCTGTCCTCGTCGCACCTTTGTTGCTGGTGCTATTGTTGTGTCGAATATGCTCTCTTGTCGTTGCTATTCAAAAACATGCGATGTACACACTTGCCTCTCTCTCGAAAGGAATTCCCAGTTGTCGTTCACGCGCTGGTGGTGGTGGTGGTGCTGGTGCTCACACACCCTGGATTGCTCATCACATCTGCTGTTATTTGTCTGCTTGAGTCTCTGCTTCTCAAGACAAAATAAATATGCGATCGACATTCTCGCATTGGTAAGGCGACATGTAGGGCTCGCGTTTGGCCTTTATTCTATCACGGTACTAGGTAGGGCAGGGGTAATGAGCCGCAGTGTAGCCGATTCTAAACCTTGCAGTAGTCTTTTTCTGCGATGCCGATGCACGAATGCCCGCACACAGCAGCGTGAATAGTTTGTAGTACGGCTACGTGCAGCAGGGACAGGCGTGGGACTGGCGCGAGCTGCTTGTATATGCAGTCCCTCTTCAATTTTTTGCACTTTTACATTTCCGTAGTTTCCTTTCCGTTTACACCACACAGCACACACCCCACGAAGAACCTAAATGAAAAGTCTTCTCACCGTGCGGACGCAAACACGCACATCGGGGAGAGGCACGCATGCGGCATATTCCTGGCGGCGAGCGGATGCATATCACACATCACACCACCGAGGAGCACCGGCAGCAGCGTAGACATAAGGTTGTGACAAGCAGATGGCACGTATGCGTCAGGTTTACAACTTACCCGCCAAATTCGTCTCAAGCCCGCCGAATTTCCTGCGAAGTGAAAGCAAGCTGTCTACACTTAACGAAATTATTGTCACACATGCACCAAAAAAAGCCGTTGATGGCCATGAATTTGACGCGAGGGAACCAGCAGTAGCAACAGCAGAGGGAGCAGACGGCTTTGCGAAGACAAGTCAGTAGCGCGGTGCAAGTACGCAACCTGAGTCGAGCCCGGGCAACCATCCTGTTGCCGTTTGATTGAGCAGTCAGTTGAACCCACTCAACATCAACAAGCACCCGCCAGGTAACACATGGTGCGTGACTATTCCCACGACCCGCAGGTCGTA